CAATATATAAATGTAATAGCTGAAACGGAAACTTCTAGATGAAAGCAGGAGGAAAACCTTTGACATTGTTCAAACAGTTTTCTGGATATGACACAGAAATAAAGAGCAAACAGATTATTGGGATTGCATCAAACTAAAATCTTCTGTCCTATAAAGGAAACAGTCAACAAAATGGGAAGATAATGTGCAGAATGTATGGAAATATTTGTAAGCTGTATAGCTGGCTGGAGGTTAATAGGAAAAAAATTAACCTGATTTTAAAAGGAGCAAAGGACTTAAATAGTCATTTCTTCAAAAAAGTCATACAACCAATAGAAACATGAAAATAAGCCCAACATCATTAACCACCAGGAAAATGCAATTGAAATCACAAAGATCTATCACCTCACACCTGTTAGGATGGCTATTGGGAAAATGTGTGTGTGTGATGTGTGTGTGTGTGTGGTGTTGGCAAGGATGTAGAAAAATCAGAATACTGTACACTGTTGGTGGGGATGTAAATTGGTGTAGTCATTACAGAAAATGGTACCAAGTCCTCAAAAGATTAAAAATAAAACTACCATATGATCCATCAACCATACTTTTAGATATATATCCAAAAGAATAGAAATCAGGAATGCAAAGCGATATCTGAGCCCCCATGTGCAACATACATTTTTCATAATATCCAGGATTTGAAAACAACCTGAACGTCAATTGATATGTAAAAAGTAGTATATGTACTTTAGAATGAAGGCAACTCTGCTAAATGTGAGAATATGGATGAACCTGGAGAATAGTACGCTAAGAGAAGTAACCCAGTCACAGAAGAACAAGTACTGCATGCTGCCACTTACATGAGGTATCTAAAATAGTAAAATTCACAGAAATAGAAAGCAGTCAGATGGTTGCCAAGGGTTGAGAATAGAGGACAGGGAGTTGTATTACAATCAAGGGAGTAAAGTGTCAGTGATACCAGATGAAAAAGCTCTAGAGATTTACTGCACAACATGGTGCCTTAGTTAACAATACTGCATCGTGCACTTATATTTTTTTGTTAAGATAGTAGATCTCATATGTGTTCTTACAACAAACAAAATAGGAAAACCAAACAGAGACAAGGGAGCTCAGGGGGATGGATATGTGCAATATTGTCTTGTGGTGATGGTTTCATAAGTATATGCATGTGTCCAATCTCACCAAATAGAACATATTGATATGTGTAGCTCTTTGTATATCAATTATAATGATTGCAGCTCTTGTACTGTCAAGGAACAGATTAATACATTATTATTTTTACTATTTTCTTTTTTATAATATTTATTTATTTATTTGAAAGTCAGTTACACAGAGAGAGAAGAAGAGGCTGAGAGAGAGAGAAAGAGAGAGATCTTCCATCAGCTGGTTCACTCCCCAATTGGCCGCAATGGCCAGAGCTGCACCAATCCAAAGCCAGAAGCCAGCAGCTGTTTCTGGGTCTCCCACGTGGGTACAGGGGCCCAAGGACTTGGGCCACCCTCTACTGCTTTCTCAGGCCATAGCAGAGAGCTGGATCAGAAGTGGAGCAGCTGGGACTCAAATCAGCATTCATATGGGATGCCAGTGCTGCAGGCAGCGGCCTCACCCGCTACGCCACAGTGCCGGCCCCTCTTTTTACTATTTTCTTGTTCTACTTAATACCATTGGTTGCACTCTTTACTTAACACAGAATCATTCTTAGGTATTAAGTCCAATTGAAAATTGATCTCTGTTAAAAATAAGAGAGGGAATAAGAGAGGTAGGCGATGTACAGTTTGGCACTCGTTCTCTCAGACTTACCCCTAAAGGTAAAGCTAAAAACTTGCCATGGGACTCCAAATCCCATTAACTTGGCAGGTACCAATGCCATCTTACTAGTTAAAGTGATCAGTTTGAGGGCATAACTTATCATAAAGATAGGAATAAGTGCCAAAGGGATCACATAAATAAGACCAAGTATCTGCTATTAAGAATAGATAAAATTAAAAAGGAGAGAATGATCCAACATGGGAAGCAGGCCACACAGCAGACTCATAGAATGACAAATGCCCTAAACAGCACTCTGGCCTCTGAATAAGCCTTTAAAGCATTCAGTTCTGGCTGAAAAGCCCATGAGATCATTTCAGGCATGGAAAGCCAAAGACACTGTGGCAAAAAATGGCCTACATGAAAGATCTCTGTGAGTGAGATCCCAGTGGAAAGAAGGGGCCATCAAAGAAGGAGGTACCTTTCTCTGAAGGGAAGAGAGAACTTCCACTTTGATTATGGCCCTGTCTAAATAATGTTGGAGTTTGTGGACTCAAAAGACTTCCATGGCCTTGGCAGCTCATGACAAGAGCCTTGGGTGATCACTGACATCATAAATAAGAGTGTCAGTTGTTAAATCAACAACAGGAGTCACTGTGTGCTTGCTCCCCATGTAGGACCTCTGTCCTTATTGAGTTGTACTATGAGAATTAACAGTAAAACTAGTCTTCAAACAGTACTTTATACTTTGTGTTTCTGTGTGGGTGCAAACTGTTGAAATCTTTACTCAGTACAGAATTGATCTTCTGTATATAAAGATACTTAAAAACGAATCTTAATGAAGAATGGGATGGGAGAGGGAGTAAGAGGTGGGATGGGAGTGGGGGGTGGGAGGCCAGGTATCAGGGGAAGAACTGCTATAATCCAAAAGCTGTACCTATGAAATTTATATTCATTAAATAAAATCCTTCTAAAAATATTATAAAGATGGCAATGAAACTTAAAAAAAAAAGAAGTATGATGTGGACATCTGGGCTGGTGTCTAAGATGCCAGTTAGTACAGCTGTATCCTACATACAGCTGGGGAGTGTTTGGAATGACGTTCTGGCCATGCTCCGTATTCCAGCTTCCTGCTAAATCAGACCTTGGGAAGCAATGGTGAGGGCTCAAGTACTTAGGTCCCTACCACCCCTATGGGAGACCTCAATTGTACTCTTGGCTCTCAGCTTCAACCTGGTCCATCCCTGGTCATTTCAAGTGTATGAGTAGATGGGAGCTCTCTCTATATCTCTGTCTTCCTCTCAAAAAAAGCTTTTTTAAAAGAATTGTGTGTTTGTAAATGTTTAACACACAGTTCAGGGTAAGGGGAGCCAGTATTTTGCCAATTTCCATTGTTTAAATACTCCTACCATGACCAATGTTAAACAATATTATTGAACTTGGAAGAGATACACACATTCTCTCCGTGCAAACCAACTCTAGAACAACGTTAGATGAGGACATTTTGGAGACAATTATATTGACTTTCTTAGATGTGGTAGCAGTATTAAAATTCCATAGGAATGACCCCTTTCTTGTGAGACACATAGCACAATACCATGGTGGTATCCTGATGCTTGCAGATTACTTTCAGAAAGCTTGGCAAAAAAGATGTGTGTGTGTGTGTGTGTGTGTGTAGACAGAGAGCAGAGAAACACCATAACAGGTGATTAATACTTTGTAACCTCTAATACTACAGTAATAAAAATACAGGTTAAATTCTTCAAGAGAAAAAAATCAATTTGTTGTCAATGGAAGATTTCATATTAAAATCTATTTTAATTTTAATTTTCTATTGAAAAGAGGCTAAAGCCTTGCCATATCGGGCTCATGCTCTCAAGTTTGACATTTATCTAAACTGAGTCCTCCAGGGGCTGCACTTTCCAGTTTGAGCTTCTCTGATCCACTTTTTTACATTATCTTACCCTGTTAGCTGCAGGTATTTGCATTTGTGACTTTTTGCTGGCAAGTGGAACAGTGGGTTAAGTTGCCACTTTCATTATCGGCATCCCATACCAGAGTCCTGGTTCAAGTCCCAGCTGCTCCACTTTGAAAGGCACCTTAGGATGTCCATGTGCTCGGGTCCCTTTCATCCATGTGAAAGACCCAGATGTAGTTCCTGGCTTCTGGCTTCAGCCTGGTTATTGCAACCATTTGGGAAGTGATCCAGTGGCTGGAAGATCTATGTGTATGTGTGCTTGTGTGTGTGTTTCTTTCTCTCTCTTCTGCCTTTCAAATATGATAATTAAGAAAAAGAAACCATTCAACAAACCATATTGGAAAATATGCCTGAACACAGAATCTATGAAGATCTGTTATATCAGCATTCAAGCACTCAGTGGGGATAATAAAAATGATGCCAGCTTAGTGCTGTTACTGTCACTGCTTCTTGGACCCTTGGTTAATATAAAAAAAGAATTCATGCTTTCTCAACCATATCTGCTAGCTCCCTCTGCAGGCCCAATCTGAAGAATGACACTACTTGATTTTTTCTTTGCTGCTGCTGCTGCTGCTGCTGCTGCTTCTTCTTCTTCTTTTTTTTTTTTTTTTTTTTTTTTTTTTTGTAAATTTGAAGCTTAAAATCACACGTCCGGGATTTAAAGAGCTACAGACATGGAAATACTTAATGAGAGAATACTCAACTAAATTACCTTCTCCTTTTTTGTAGCTTCTATGACAATTAAGAGACTTAATAGCACAAGAGTGGGTTTTAGACTGGCGCCGCGGCTCACTAGGCTAAACATCCCCCTTGCGGCGCCGGCACACCGGGTTCTAGTCCTGGTCGGGGCGCCGGATTCTGTCCCAGTTGCCCCTCTTCCAGGCCAGCTCTCTGCTGTGGCCAGGGAGTGCAGTGAAGGATGGCCCAAGTGCTTGCGCCCTGCACCCCATGGGAGACCAGGATAAGTACCTGGCTCCTGCCTTCGGATCAGCGCGGTGCACCGGCTGCAGCGCGCAGGCCGCGACGGCCATTGGAGGGTGAACCAACGGCAAAAGGAAGACCTTTCTCTCTGTCTCTCTCTCTCACTGTCCACTCTGCCTGTAAAAAAAAAAAAAAAAAAAAAAAAAAAGAGTGGGTTTTAAAAGTTCGGCCCCCAAACCAAAATTCTTGTGTCCGCGGAGAAGGCTCTGATCTGGGGTGACTTGGCGCCCTCTAAAGGTTATAACGATGAATGTGCAGCTTCCCATGTACTTGCCACAGTTTGTAGGGCTTTACCGGAACTGTGACATTGAGGAGGGCGGGGACAAGGGCAGGAGATTTTTGTGTCTTTCCAATCCGAAAGCCGTATTCTAATTCGTCATTTTCCCCTCCTTTGGGATCGCGGAAGCCTGAAGCTCGAGTCCTGTGTAACTTTTCTCCCTTGGTGAGTTTACTTTTCTGCTGTCACAGCATGACAGAAAGAAAAACTGGCTTTTGTTTTAAACTACGAGCACTTTGATCAGTCAGCATTCTATCTTTCTTTTAGGACAAAGAATTTCAGGTTCAAACTTTTTAAGACAAGTATTATCCTTGGCCATCAGCTTTGAGAAATAATTTAAGTCAAAGTGTCTTCTCTATGCTGACAAGGTAAGTGTCCTGGGTTTTCTACTTATTTATTTAATGGGATAATGTTTCCAGGAACAGTGCTGGCCAAGAATGAATGTTCTCCTTGGGGAGTACATTCCTTAAGAATTCATGTGATTCTCTTTCTGGAACCTGTTGATTAGGAACAAGCAAAGTATTAGAAAACAAAACAGCAGGAAACTGTAAGGAAACAAAGTTTTGTTGGAGAAACCATCTGAAAGGGATGTGCTCATGAGAAATGAAGTCACAGGGCTGTCAGTGACGCTAGTCTCACTGCTGGTGCTGGTTTCATCTTAGGAAGGAGATGGGAGGGCCATGCATTGGCACACAAAACACTGGGCAAGTGGCGTGACAGGAAAGACATAAACAAAGAGTGTGGTGGGGTTAAGACAAGAAACATGAACTGAACAAATTCCAAATTCAAAGAAATCACCATTTATTACATGATTTGCAGATCACCCATGTCTCTCGCTGTCTCAAAAACATTTGCTCGTGAAGCAGGCAGGGAGTGAGGCTGTCCTGTTGTGCAAAGGTCCAGTTCAACAGCTCAAGACTCCTTTCTTGACTAATTAGAAACAACCTTTGAGCAAAGTACTTTGAGTTTGTTGTTTACAACAAGCTTGCCCACAGCTTAGGTTCTCCCAACCCTTCAAGCTTGCAGAGTAGTCTCCCTGTAGATTCACATCTGTTTTTGTCACCAATTACTTGATTTTCAGACCCAAAAAGAGTCCTTTCAAGCTGGAAAGGAACAAGCCCTCTAATCTATAAGTAGCATCAATGGCACAAAGTAATCAGAAGTTTTAAGTTTACATAGCTGGTGAGAAGCAGAGCAATAGCTGAGATCTCTCAGTTGCCACGGTACTGTCTTGAACTTGTCAGCTTTTCATTACTGCAACGAATGACCTGAGAGAAGCTGCTTATGAAGGAAAGGAAAATTTACTTGGTTCAGAGTTTTGGAAGCTGCAAGCCTGATGGCACGATGCAGGCTGCGGTGAAGGCCCCCATGGTGAATGATGGACAGAGGATGGGTCACATGGTAACCAGAAGGCAGGGGAGCCAAACCAGGGCTTCTGTCGCAACCTTCTCTTCCTTCCTTCCTTCCTTCCTTCCTTCCTTCCTTCCTTCCTTCCTTCCTTCTTCCTTCCTTCCTTCCTTCCTTCCTTCCTTCCTTCCTTCCTTCCAGATTTATTTATTTATTTGAAAGTCAAAGTTACACAGAGAGAGAAGAGGCAGAGAGAGAGAGAGAGGTCTTCCATCCACTGGTTCACTCCCCAATTGGCGCAACGGCTGGAGCTGCACCGATCCAAATCCAGGAGCCAAGAGCCTCCTCCAGGTCTCCCACACGGATACAGGGGCCCAAGGACTTGGGCCATCTTCCACTGCTTTCCCAGGCCATAGCAGAGAACTGGATCGGAAGTGGAGCAGCCAGGACTCAAATCAGCACTCTTATGGGATGCCGGCACTGCAGGAGGTGGCTTTACCTGCTGCGTCACAGCACCAGCTCCGCCCGCCCACAACCTTCTTTCAAGAACTGCCTTCTGAGAGCAGTGTCCCCATGACCTAAGGACCAAGGCACCATCTCCTAATGTTTCTACTACCTCCCAGTAGCACAACCCTAGAGACCAAGTCTTTCAACACATGGCCCTTTGGAGCATATTCAACACCCAAATCACACCACTTCCTAACTTATACCATATTTTAAAACAGGTACTGTTTTTTCAGAACTTCATAATCCATAAACAAGTATTTATTTTAAAAGATGCAAATTCTCAATCTGTTTATACTCCCCGGATCACTCATCAGTTATTTCAAAGGCATCATGCTTTTTTCCCAGTACCTTTCTATCTCACAGCCCACTCTGTGCTGTGACTGAGTTTCCCAGCACAGCTAAACAGTCTAGGGAATCTGGAGGCATTTGCACCCAGAGCATGGGGCTGTTAGAGAACTTGCAGACCGGGTGTTACACGTCAACCTCTCAGCACACAGCAGCATCTTGAGGGCAGTCACAGTGTTTTTATTTCTCAGACTTTTATCACTATTATTTAGTCATTGGGTCTTAATCATCTTTAGCCCCACACTGGGCTCAGGGTGCAACTGTTGAAGGAATGGATTTACTGCCTCTCTGTTCACTTCAGCATAGTTTTCACCTTGCCAATTCAATTAGTAACCGTTTCTTATGTGTTGCCATTGCAAAGACAGAGCCCAGCAGAGATCTGACAACTCCAGGCCTCAAACCAGATGATTAACTGTTATTGGTAGAGGCGATTTGTTTCTGATTGGAAACTATGTAGACCACCCACTCCTCAACCACAAGGAAACCACAGTTATGTAGCAGACTTTTTGCCAAACCACTTCATCAGTTTTGTCTATCTGAACATGTTCTTTAGGGAGAGGAGGTGAGGAAGAAGACAAGTAGGGAGGTAGAGAAGGAACACAAAATAAATATTTTGTGTTTGGCAGTTTAGTGTAAATACTATTATTTTAAAATTCAAAAGAGGAGAGTGTTTGTCAAAGATGCTGCTTGGGATACTCACATCCCCTGTTGGAGTGCCTGGGTTCAAGTCCTGGCTCCAGGTCCTGACTCCAGCTTCCTGTTCCTGTGCATCCTGGGAGACAGCAGATGATGGCTCAAGCATTTGGACCCTTGACACCCATGTGGGAGACCTAGGTTGATTTCCCAGCTCCCTGACATTTATTGATTGAACCAACAGATGGGAGGTCTCTATGTCTGACTCTGTCTCTCTGCCTCTGAAGCAAAAGAAATCTGAAAAAAAATTTAAAAAAAGTTTTTCAACATAGGTGTTTTTCTTACTTTACAAATAATATATTAAGGATTTTTCAGTGCATTGCTCGAGGGCCCTGTGATTAATCAGTTACAGAGTTCAAACCCAACTCTGCTGCCTTCCAAGTCCATTTTCCTTGACACCCAACTAACTACCCAAAATAGAGATTCCCAAATAAAGCAAGTCTAGAGGAAGAAGTATGCATTTTGCAATAAGTACAAAGCCATCCTAAGCCACACAAAGGCCATGACATTTAAAAAAAAAAATGAAGATGGCCAGCCCTAGGAAGTTCCTCTGATCCTCATCAAGTCCATGAGTCTGCTGCATAATCACAGGAGTCCATGAGGTTCTAGGGCTCAGAAGTCTCCCTTTTTCCCCTGTAGTCAATAAATCCATGTTGCTTTATGTCTCAGTTTTGTGATCTAATTAGGAAGCAAGTTACAAAGCTATGGGGATAACCTTCCCCAAACTCTTCCCAAGGTGTAGCAAGAAACCTGAGCAAAGGAAGATAAGAGGCTTAGAGATGGGAATCACAAGCCATTCAGTCTGTTGGTGCAGTGTGTGCATCCAGAAATCCACCTTCAGTGCAGAATCTGACTCTTATTAGCTGTGGAGCCTTCCGTTGTACCAAATGATGGTGCTGCGTTTTCCCATTTCCTGGCCCTGAGAGCTCAATAAATATTCACTACCCTGGTTGCCCGAGGAAAATACTCGTACCACTAGGATAAGTGCCCTGAGAGTACAAAAATCACATGCAAGGCAGGCATTTGGCCTAGCAATGAAGACACCCATTAAGATGCCCGCAGCCCATATTGGAGTGCCTGTGTTAATGCTGGTTTCCAGCTCCTGACTGCAGCTTCTCACTAACAGAGACCCTGGGAGGCAGTGATGAGGGCTCAAGTAATTGGGCTTCTGCTATGGATGCGAGAGACCCAGACTGAGATCCCAGTCCCCAGCTCCAGCTCTGCCCAGCCTGACTTTGAGGGCATTCGAGGTGTGAACCAGTGGATAGGTGCTCTCTCGTCTCTCTCTTTCTGCCTGTCAAGTAAATAAGTAATTGTTTTAATCACATAGGCACTGTAGAGCTAAATCTTTTCTCAAGAAACATTTTAACTGTAAAGGCAAAGTCAAAGGAGTTTATATATATATATATATATACACACACACATATATATATATATAAAACATAATATATATGTATATATTGTATAAAACAACTACAGACTTTGAGGCCTCAACTACTGTTTGTGTGTTTTCTGGACTGGTCAATGGGTTTGCAGGGAAAAGCAGCAGTTTCAACTTACTTCTCAGATTACCCCATTTAATTAAGGCAAAAGCATTGTTGAGGTATTGGAGAAGCTCATATTATAAAATCAAGGAAAAGAGACTCTAAATCCCCTTGCCACATACAAGGGTACTTCAAAAAGATGTGGAAAATAGAACTAAAAGATAAGCTTAATTTTAGTGTAAAATTTTTTGTAAATTCATGCAGTTTGTCACAATATGCATTTTTCATGACCTTTAGAAGACTGCATCTTTTTTCACCAAAGCAAATCGATCTTTTTTAAAAAAATAGATTTATTCATTTATTTATTTGAAAGTCACAGTTGCACAGAGAGAGAAGGAGACACATACACACACACACACACACACACACACACACAGAGTTTCCATCCTCTGGTTCACTCCCCTAATGGCCACAGTGACTGGGGCTGGGCCAGGCTGAAACCAGGAGCCAGGAGCATCGTCTGGGTCTCTCATATGGATGCAGGGGCCTAAGGACTTGGGCCATCTTCCACTGCTTTCTCAGGGAAAAGGAGCAGCTGATACTTGAACTGGTGTCCACATAGGATGCTGGCACTGTAGGCTGTGGCTTAAATGGCTACGCCACAGTGCCAGCCTCATGAATTGATCTTTTAATTCCAATTTCTGAGAACTTTTTCAAGTACCCCCATATTTCCTCATGCCCCCTCTGATAAGCACAAACATCCTCCTCGCCACTTGACCTCCTCTTAGACTTAGAATGTCCTTTGTGACTTTGCTTAGGGACTTTGATCTCTATTATGTCAGTCAGAGCTCTGTACAAGTTTAAGAAATGTCCCTGCTCCAAATTCATGTAATATCCTTTTTTTTTTTTTTTTTTGACAGGCAGAGTGGATAGTGAGAGAGAGAGAGAGACAGAGAGAGAGAAAGGTCTTCCTTTTTGCCGTTGGTTCACCCTCCAATGGCCGCCACGGCTGGCGCACCACACTGATCCGAAGCCAGGAGCCAGGTGCTTATCCTGGTCTCCCATGGGATGCAGGGCCCAAGGACTTGGGCCATCCTCCACTGCCTTCCTGGGCCACAGCAGAGAGCTGGCCTGGAAGAGGGGCAACCGGGAAAGAATCTGGCACCCTGACCAGGACTAGAACCCAGTGTGCCGGCGCCGCAGGCAGAGGATTAGCCTAGTGAGCTGCGGCGCCGGCCTCATGTAATATCCTGTTATATGGTAGGGCATAACCATGGTCAGCTATTTTTAAGGACTCTAGATGTTTTCAATAAAAACTAAAATTTTTACTGTCCCAGTTCTTAGAGTTCAGCGGACAAGATGATGGCAAAGTGTCTCTTCAATATTGAAGAGAACTAAAGCCCAATCAGGTCAAGGTACCCACCCATTTGTAACAATAGCTGAATTTTATTGAGCTCCTCCTATATAGTTCACACACTACTAAAATCCTTCTAACATATTAGCATACATCAAAGCATTTGTGGAAAATTGAATTAAGTGATACTTAGCTGAAAAAAATTGAAATCCATGTATAGTTTTTTCATAATATACATTTTTTGCAAATTTTTGAAGACCCCTCCTATGCATGAATTGGAAAAAAATGCACAAAATAAGCTTATCTTTTAATTCCATTTCCTGTGAATTTTTTAAGTATTCCCATTTAGCAGCCAATCAATCATCACAAATTTTATTGTATTATTATTATTATTATCATAGCCATCTACCAATGACAAAACAGAAGCACAGAGAAATTAAACAGCCCAATGTCATGCAGTTAATAAGTGATGAAGCCAGCATTTAAACCAAAACACTGATTTCAGAGCCTGCATTTTTAGCCAAAATGTGATTCTTCATCCACTGAAAGAGGAATGAAGGCATTTGTACCACTATAAAAGTTTAATGCTGGGAAAAGGGCCTCCTCCCAACCTTGTCATATAAAGAATCTCTGTTTGATCTTCCTCAAGCAGAAGATACCATGGCCAAGAAAGTTGCAGTGATTGGTGCTGGTGTGAGTGGCCTGACCTCTATCAAATGCTGCTTGGATGAAGACCTGGAGCCCACGTGCTTTGAAAGAAGTAATGACATCGGGGGACTGTGGAAGTATACCGTATGTAATTCTCACCTTCCCATTTCCAGCGATCATAATCTGGCCATATGTTTTGTCTCTGTTCAGCTGTGGTGACTTTAGTCAATTTGATTGTCAAATAAGGGAGGAATTCACTGCAATATCACTAACATGTGCATGGCACAATGCTAAACAGTGTGTGAGATGTAGTCTGATACATGAGGAACCTTGAGAAAAGCAGGGCACGGTCAGGTGCAGTTTGAAAGAGGAGGATAGAGTTAACTCAGATAGACATAACGTTGAAAGTTTATGATGATTTCTGGATCACGAATATTCTAAGACACAGTGGCAGGGCAAGCTAAGTGGCAGTGGTGGATATGGAGCAGATTACAGCCTGGCGAGGGTGAAAGTTGGCATCAGAGACTGGGGCCCCAACCTCCAGGACCCTAACCCTTAGGCATCCCTCAGTTCTTTGGGAAGAGGACTGCCAGGAGTGAGGCAGGACACCAGACCTTGGAAGATGAATAAAAAGAAACCCAGGCACTGAGCAGTCCTTCTTAGAAGTGGAATTTGCACCTTAGGGGCCTATCATCAGGGCTAGACCAGCTGTCAAATGATTTGAGCATCACAAAATGGGGCTGGAGGGGCAGGAATTTGGTATCTGAATATAGAAGCCAGGGAGGCCTCAGTACTAAATGCCTCAGGCAAAGAGGAGAGCAACCTTCATTCAACTGGTATGGATGATGGAAGCCTTCATGGAACAAATGGAATTTTCTGGATCTTTAATGGATGGTGAAAAAAAATAAAATGAACAAATGTATGAGAGTTCTTCAAAATGGTCATGGAAAATGGAATTAAAAGATGAATTTATTTTGGTGCAAAACATTTTGAAATCCATGCACAACTTTTTTACAATATGCATTTTCCATAAATTGAAGATGCTTCATATGTAGACAGAAGCAGTCACAACCATAGGATTATAGTATCCCAGAGGAAGAAAACCTTTTTCTGGTATACTGTGAGCCTCATCAAGACACTGAATGTCAATGTGAAAACAAAGTACTGTATCAGGTGTGGCTTGTGTGCCTTCTGCTATTTGACCCACTGTTGGTTTGGTTTCTTGCTCCTACTCTATACAGATCAATTCTAGAAAATAATATTTGACTAAATAAAATGAAAAATACAAATAAATATAGTAATAGTACCCAAGGTAAGCACCATTAAAATTTCAATGAAATTTATTTCAGTTATATATTCATTTATGATATTTTTCAAAAACACCATTATAATATTAATTTTTATTCATTTCCTATACTTATGTCCTTCTGCCAGGACAAAATGGTGAACAAGACAAATAAGACTCTACCTTCCTATGTTCCTGTGGGGAACAAAAACAGTAAACAAAATTATAATGCAATGTGATCAGTTCTGTATTAAAACTATGGGACCGTAGGGCCACAATAGCTACCTTACACAGGTCTTTTGGGTCATGGAAGGCTTCTTAGAGAAAATGACAGATAAGAAAGAGTCTTGAGGGAAATAGAGATTAGCATCAGCCAGAAGTAATTCATTGGTGCCTAGAATATGACCTTTTGGTTTATTTTTTGATTTGAAGTGGTGGAAATTGAGACCAATGAGCTGAGGAGTATTTGAGATAAGAGAGGCTACCAGACTGAGAGAAGGGGGGGGGGGGGGAGTAAGACCATACAGGGACATAGGTTGTGGATTTTGTTTTATCTTTAAAAGCAGAGTCTTTAGTATTTTACATGCTGATGGGAAAGCATAAATTAGAATGATTGAAAATACACGTAGCCAATATTGGGGAAAATCAGTGAGGAAAGACAAAGAGAAGATGTGCAGGGCGTGAGTGGAGGAAGTAGTCCTGGCAAGAGAAGAAGGAAGACGACCAGAACAGATCATGGGCAACTATTCAGGGACTCTGCTCATCTTGGAGAGCCCTATTAAATCTAATTAGTTTCTTTGTCATTTATAAAAGATACTATATTTAATTATCCTAGTCTAGCCAAAGATTTATAGCCAGTGTAGTGTGGGGACATAATGCTGAGTTGCCTAGAACTCTCTTAAATACATGGGACATTGATTGTGGGGACCCCCTTGCAGCTGGGCTGGCCTGAACCATCAAGACCCCATCAAACTAACCATGCCTTCACCACAGGAAACTTCCAAAGATGGGATGACCAGGATCTACTGGTCGTTAGTGACAAATGTCTGCAAGGAAATGTCCTGTTACAGTGACTTCCCTTTCCAAGAAGATTACCCCAATTTCATGAGCCACTCAAAATTTTGGAACTATCTCCAGGAATTTGCTGAGCACTTTGACCTCCTGAAATACATTCAGTTTAAGGTAAGATGCTTTGAGTTGTGCAAGGTGAGAGAACAGGGGCTGTCCTCTTCTGCAATCTAACAGGAATGGGATGTTTAAGGAAAAATGTCCCTGTTTATCTGCATAAGGATAAGATGAATATTTTAAGAGTCTTTAGACTCTTTTACTGCTCATTTTTTTACACAGTTAAATCATTAAAATACTGAATTTCCTGGTTCCTCTTCTCAATGTGAATGTGTCGTTTGGGACGAGATTTTTAATTTTTTTCCTGAGATGAAAGGAAATGAATTTTGTTCACAAAACCCATTGAGAAGAAATTACTAGAAGTCAGAACCACAGAAATTATAATCATACAAAACTTATTTTCCTAATTTTTTTCTAAATCATTAGGCATTGTAATTTGTCTCTTTCTCCCCAGGAATCAACTGACCATTCATTCCTCCCAACAACAGGATTCAGATGTCTTACATTTTAGTCTGAGTTTATACAAGTGACTTAACTTCTCTGGGATATTTGTAGGTCTGCTATCATGGAACTTGGCTTATTCAAAATAACAGACATGGTTGCCATGCCAGTTAGTCCATGAGGTCTGAAGGATCCTCACTGGTAGGAAGCGAGTGTTTGTCTTTTGCTTTTAGACCACTGTGTGCAGTGTAACAAAGCGTCCAGACTTCTCCAAAACTGGTCAATGGGATGTTGTCACAGAGACAGAGGGCAAGCAGCATAGAGCTGTCTTTGATGCTGTCATGGTTTGCACTGGAAAATTCCTGAATCCCCGTTTACCTCTGGAATCCTTTCCTGGTGAGTCATTTCTATCTGAAACCATGCCTACTCTTCAGGATTCTTGAAAAGTTATTGCTTTTTAATTGGAAATATTTCCACTCTTAAAAAAATATATACAATGAGGTGCACATTTGGCCTGTCAGTTAAGGTGCTGGTTTGTACACCCACAGCCCATATCAGAGTGCCTGAGATCCAGTTCCAACTCCACTCCCAATTTCCTTTTTTTTTCTTCTTTTTTTTTTTTACAGTTTGTTTTTTTTTGTTTGTTTGTTTTTTTGACAGGCAGAGTGGACAGTGAGAGAGAGAGACAGAGAGAAAGGACTTCCTTTGCCGTTGGTTCACCCTCCAATGGCCGCCGCAGGAGCCAGGTACTTATCCTGGTCTCCCATGGGGTGCAGGGCCCAAGCACTTGGGCCATCCTCCACTGCCCTCCCGGGCCACAGCAGAGAGCTGGCCTGGAAGAGGGGCAACCGGGACAGAATCCGGTGCCCCGACCGGGACTAGAACCCAGTGTGCTAGCGCCGCAAGGCAGAGGATTAGCCTAGTGAGCCGCGGTGCCGGCCTCACTCCCAATTTCAGATTCCTGCTAATGCGCATCCTGGCAGGCAGAAGATGATGGCTCAAGTGGTTGGGGTTTTGTCACTCACATTGGAAACCCAGACTGAGTTCCTAACTTTCAGCTTTGTCCTAGCTCAACCCAGCCCCGGCCACTGTGGGTATATGGAAAATAAATCAGGGAACAAGATATTCTCTCTTTCCCTTCTCTCTCTCTCTTTATTTCTTTCTTTCTTGTTATCTCTCTTACTTTCAAGTAAAGAAAAATGTAAAAAAAAAAAGTACAAAATTATTTTGAATGGTATAAAGCACTATGTACACATCAGACCTTGTTATTTACTTGTTAATATGAATGTTATTCTTGAATCATGCACTCTAATTAAAGTTCAGTGTCACAAAAAAGAACAAACTTGACTTTGGGAACTAAATAATAAATAATTTGCATTAGGACTGACCAGAAATTCAAACTAGAGTATGAGGTAACTTGACACATTTTTTAATGAGAAAAGCTAGAAATTATCCATGTAAAGATATATATTTACCCTTCAAAGCAGTCGTCACAATACACCTTAGTCCAGGGCTGTCTACAAAAAAACCAATACTCTTGATTAACAAGTCTCTATCTTTGAGATCAAAATTTCTTATTTGGAAAACAAAAAGCTATTCAAACTTGGCTTAGGGAAATAAAACTATTCATATGAGGATTACTAAAATGTACTAAACGCTGCTCTTCTTCTGCCACTTATTAGTGGCCCTAAAGTCAATTGAGTAAGTGAAGTTTTGAAATTTCTTCAAGGAATTGCAAGAATGACTTTCAGATTTTTAAAAATTTTTATTTATAGTAGTTATTTGTAAATTAGAGAAGTTGTTTTTATTTTTATTTATTTGAAAGACTGAGAGAGACAGAGACAGACAGACAGAGATCTGTTGTTTGCTAGTTCACCCTCCAAATGCCTACAACAGTGGGAGGCTGGACCAAGCCAAAACCAGGAGCCTGGAATTCCATTCAGGCCACCACTTGGGTAGCAGGAACTTAGCTACTCAAGCCATCACCTGCTGCCTTCCAGGATGTACATTAGCAAGAAAGCAACAAGTGGAGCCAGGATTCAAACCCGGGCACTCCAGTAAAGAACATGGGAATCCCAAGTGTAATCAAACATTGACCCAGAAGTTTTAAGCAAGAAAGAATGTAAAGAATAAAATTTGCAAACCTTGACAAGAAAAAAAAAATATAAATCCTATAAACACAATCAGAAAATAGCAAAGTATCCTAGTTGAAGCAAAACATATTTAGCTATTAAGTGAGAATTCAATGCAAAATTTGCAGAAAGGCAGTACTGTAAGCAGCATCGGGATTGGGGATGTGTGGGAGCTGAACACACAACTCTACAGTGGCAGAGGAACATGCACATGCCTCTTTTTTTTTAAGATTTGTTTACTTTATTTGAAAGACAGAGTTACAGAGTGGCAGAGAGAGAGAGAGAGGTCTTCCACCCACTAGTTCATTCCCTAAATGGCTGCAACAGCCAGAGCTGGGCCCATCAGAAGCCAGGAGCCAGGAGCTTCTTCTGGATCTCTCACACGGGTGCAGGGGCCCAAGCATGTGGCCCATCTTTTACTGCTTTCCCAGGTCATAGCAGAGAGCTGGATTGGAAGTGGAGCAGCCGGGACTCGAACCCTCGCCCATATGGGATGCCGGCGCCTCAGGCAGAGGATTAACCTACTGCACCACAGTGCCACCCCCCATAAATAGCTTTGACATGTCTGTTGAAATGATTGTTTTCCTTGAGAATACAAAGGTATGGAAAGTGGCAGGGTTATTTCCACACTATTGACTGGAAAAAAATCAATGGAAAGCTCAAGCATTGTCTATGAGGTGCAGCCACACTATCCGACAGTTGAAATTGTCACACACAAAAGCTTTTTATCTGCATGAATCGGCTTTTTCTTTTTTTTTCCTTTGTTCCTGAATTAGAAGTTTTGACTCAGCCAATAGATTCCCTCTCTTTCTCTCCCTCTCTCTCTCCCCTCCTCTCTCTAACATGGAGTTAACATAATCACTGATGAGAACTACCTGCACATTCTGTATTATTTGTTGGGTCTGCTGCTCAAATAGGCAATTATGGAAACCAGTTATTTACCAGGCATTTTGTGAAATCTATGAACCACCACAAGTACTCTAGTAACTTCCCTCTACTAAAACCTCAGTGAATGGCGAATGCCCCATTTTCTAAGGCATTGCATTGCAAAATCTTAGTACTCTTCTTTCTTATTCCTAATCATTTTTCAAATTTCTTCATTTATACTTTTTGGCCACAGAAGAGGACATGATTGTACTTCAATACATAACTTCTATACAATCAAAAAATAAAACACCACAGTAAAATAAAAGAGAAAAGTGGTATACTTTCATTTGTGATACATGACAAAATGCTAACATACTGAATTATAGATGAACTCTTAGAAATCATAACAAAGAGACTAATATTACAAAAGCAATGAAAAAGGAACAGAGGAAAAAATGAAATAACACAATTTATTAATAAGGCTATATGGGTTGATTACACAGAAAATAAGAACAATTTTTTACATGCATTATCAGTCACTAAAAATGCTGATACTGGGGCCAACATTGTGGCATAGCAGGTAAAGCCATTGCCTATAACATCCTGGTTCATGTTCCAGCTGCTCTGCTTCCAATCCAGGTCCCTACTTTTTTTCCCAGCACCTGGGCCCAGGAAAAACAGTGGAAGATGGCCCAAGTGCTTGGTCTCCTGAACCCATGTGTAAGACCTGGATGAAGCTTCCTGGCTGGCTCAGCCCTGGCTGTTGTGACTAGTTGGGGAGAAAACCAGCAGATGGAAGACCTCACTTCCACTGTCTCTCCCTCTCTGTAAATCCAACTTTCAAATAAAGAAATATTTAAGAAAATAAAAATAAAAATGCCGATATCTAATGAGGAATGATCATTCAAACTCTGGGAGAACTTTCTCCAATTAGTGGAAAATTATTCAAAATGTTGATTATGTGTATACTTAGCCCTGAATTCCAATCCATAGAAATCAAGAATGTATATACTACATAGAAAATCTATAGCTGACATTCAACTATAACACACCAAAAAAATTCCTAATTACATCAATTTTTATGAATAAATACCCTAATGTTATACACAGAAGTCTATTGATAGTAGATAGCACAGGGGGGAGAATGGTGAAATTTCTTCAAAAAAAAAAAAAAAACACTCTGGAATTTCTTCCCTGAGTCAGTCTACACTGAATGGCCGATTGGAGCCCTCATAACATACACTGTTCTGAAAGGCAGTAGTGTGTCATCAGTCGAAGAACATGAGTTCCCATGTGAGCTCTGCCACTTGCCTGTAACAAGTTCCCTATCTTCCCTGTGCCTAAATCTCAACTTTAGGAAAACTGAATAATAGGATGTTCCACCACATAGAGTTGCTGTAAAGTTTAAGTTAGTTAATATGTACAAAGTCCTTAGAGCATGCCAGAGACTGATGTAGCACAGTGCAGGTAAATATTAGCTACTGTCAGATTACTTACCTGTCTCCCCACCCCAGGACAATTTCCTTAAGATAGGCGCTGGCTTTTACCCTCATATCCCTTTGACCTTATCTGGTACTTCAGGGAAGGTAGTGTTGAAAGGACAAGTTGTGCAAGGTTCAGTTATTGGCCCACTGTGCTTTTTCTTTTAAAGCACTGACCTGACCCATGGGGTTTGTCCTCCCCTGCCTTTGGATGAAATCTCGGCTGCTTCTATGGCTGTTGTGCTCACACACAGATAACGAAGAGCCCTCTGATCATTTTAAGTCACTAAAAATAATCTCATTTTTTGTAATTAAGATGTCCTATCTCATGCAATAGCTGGATTTTGCAACCACATGTCATGGTAAATTTTCTCCCATCCTCCATCTGGTGCTTGCTTGGAGCTCACAGCTGTCTAGTAGCAAGAGATGGTGATGGCATGCTTTGCTTCTATCTTCCTCCCTCCACCTCCTCTACCCACGAGCTGCAGTTTCTCACTCTTCCAGATTTATAGTCAGGAGAGTGGCAAGAAGTGCTACAGGGGCCAGAAGGATCTCTCTTGAGTAGCACCAATTCTCTGGCCATGGAGGTGTTGAATATTGATTCTTTGTGAAGTGCCTGCCTCAGTCTAGTTCAGAGACTCATACTGGGCATGTCTCACCTGTAGCTCCTTGTTGGAGTCTTCCATTCCCAGATTAGCAACTTACAACTCTAAACTGCAGGTCTCCCCAGCTCACCCCCACAGACCATCAGTTAGGGTCTCATACCTGTACAGCTGGTCACCTGCGCAAAGTTCCTCTAAGTTGGCATCAGACTGCCTCTCTCCCACACAGCCGTCATGAGGTCCACATGAAATAGGTGCCTTCACTGTCAATGGTGGAAGAAAAGCTTGCTGCCAGTGCTGCCACCATCCCTCTCAGGCAGTTCCAGTCACAGTCTTCCAAACATGGGGTAGACACCAGCCCCTGTGTTCTGCAGACCCCAGACTCCAAGAGGTGAGGTCTCAACATTGGCTCCCAGGAGGTCATCACAGCTGGCTCCATAACAATGGGACAGAAAATGCCATAGCACTTTAAAGCATCCTTTCAGGGAATGGTCCTATTTCCATCAGGAGCCACTTCAGCTTCCACTGTGTTAGAGCCACATAGGGTATGAGGAGGCTGAGAATCACAAACTAGGCAACACTCACATTCTTTGCACATTCTGCAGAGTCAAGGTAGCACCTCGTTTGAAATGGAGTTTAGTTCCCAGCTTTGGAAAGCCCTTTCATTTTCTATGATAGCTATTGAGTAAATGGATGTGTCAATGGCTGAAAGGTAACAGAATGCAATTGTCAAGGAAAGAGTTGAATTTTAGACATGACCATTTCACAAGCACCTGTAGCATGGGGGCAGCGGGCTGTCTAGTCCTCTCAATGACAGGGCTTCCCTTCCTGACTTGTTCCCCGTGCTGCTTCTTGCCTGTCAGTGTCAGTGACACTGCCATTGATTCCTCTGTCAGCTCTCATCATTTCCATGACTGCTGCCTGTATTCTAAACACCTCTACCTCTACTGTTGCTACCAACATTAGTTTATTTGAATCCATGGGTTATGCCATTTATGTCTTCCAGGAGATAATTACCAAAAATAAATGGAAAAAAGAGGTATTTGGTGGCCCTTATATATTTGCATTTGCACATATGGTAGCCATGCTTCCATTGATGGAATGTAGGGAATTTGGGAGATCAGTCAGAAATAAGCATGACTGACATAAGAATCAAGTGCAGATACGCATACAGTATAATAAAGCATTAAGCATAGACTAAATCATAAAGTGAAATAATCATGAAGTATAAGGAACATGAGACTAACTTACAAAAGTAATTATTTTATTTATGGAAGGATAGATTTCTTTTGTGGAAAAATTTAATTGAATTAAAATTTAATCTTAACCATTTTATACACAAATGACATTATTTTTTATCTGAAATTATTTTCATTTTTACTTATTCAAAAGCAGAGAAACAGTGAGAGAGATCACATCTGCTGGTTGACCCCCTAAATATCCACAACAGTCACATCTGGGCCAGGCCAAATCTTGGAGCCAGAAACTTAATCTAGGTTTCCCTTGTGGGTGGCATGAGCCTAAGTACTTGAGCCAGTGCACAGTGGAATTGGGAATGGAGCTGGAACTCAAACCCAGACACTCTGATATGGGATGCAAGTTTCTAAACAGACTTAACAATTTATGCCAAATGCCTTGCCCTGCAAATCACATTCATATAGGATGTATTCTACTGGGTAAAATATAGTTTATCAACAACCTCCTTTGTATCAAATGCATATTTGGATATAAGAATGTAGCAATCATGGGAGGAATCTCAGTTGGATATACAGTCGCACTTCATTTAACAGTGGGGATACACTCTGAGAAATGCATCCGTAGGTGATTTTATTGTTGTGCCATCATAGAGTGCACTTACACACATCTAGATGGTGGAGCATATTATGTCCCTGGGTTATATGGCATATGCCAGCATACATGTGGCCCATCATTGACCAAAATTTCTTTATGAGGTATGTGGCTGCAATATTTAATGCAGATGGGATGTAATGACATGGAACAGAAATAATCTACTTCTCACCCAGCAAGTTCAGGGTAGTGCATGAGATTTTCCTTAGTTGGCTACAGTGAGTTTTATTTACCAAAAGAATAGTTAAAAGGGAACACGCACCTGGAATATAAGACTTCCTGTATGTTTAACAAGGCAGGTTGTGCAAAACCTGTATGTGGGCTCACAGCATCCCAGGGGAAAGAAGGATCAAATGCTTGCTCTACTCCTGCAGCTCATGTTGGAAATAAGAACTGCTGTATTTCTGAGCTTCCATATTTCCGTAGATCCTATACCTGCATGTTGGAGAACAATAGCTTTAGATATTTTCAATTTTCTTGTCCTTGTCTCCCTTCAGGAATCCTTAAGTTTAGAGGTCAGATCCTGCATTGTCAAGAGTACAAGATCCCAGAAGGCTTTCGGGGCCAACGCGTCTTAGTGATCGGCCTCGGGAACAGTGGAGGAGACGTTGCAGTGGAGCTCAGCCGAGTGGCGGCTCAGGTACACCATCTCAGTCAGTGCTCCCACTCCCAGCATCTTCTATGGTGGCTGGAGAGAGGTGCTCAAGACCCTAAAACACACTGGCAACTGCTCAGTTATGCTGACAGGAGTAAGTGAAAAAGCCATGACAATCCTTAGAGCCTCTGTCGGTTCTCTCTGAACTGTTTAAGAAGCCACACGTCATGGAGTTGAGTCATCTCTAAAAAAGATGTAGGGGACGTGGGAGGCTGCCAGACCATGAAACATCTTTCAACAGTGCTTCTACAGGAGCAAGACGCAGTAGGTAAATTGCCCCATCCAAATCAAGTAGCTTTCTTTTATACTCTGTATTTCTGGCAAAACCTGCATAGTAGGAATAGAAAGAGAGGCTGTTTTCCTCTGAGTTTTCTATAAAAAGCCAGATTTGTGACTGGTTTTAAGAAAAAAGCAAGTCCTACTGTGCCCAAGAAGTATGGGTAATGATTTTAGAAAGTCCAAGCATAGATCCTCCTAGGTTCCACTTTAGCATAAATTCTAGGATGATTAGATCTGAAATGAATAGATTTTCTTTGATTCAATTAATGTTGTTTTCTGATCTTTTGCTTTAGGTTTCATATAATTTATGGGTAAAATATCATTCAGTCAATACCATACAAGTGTTATAATTTTTGTTTATAATTCCATAAATGATAAAAATACGTAACAGATATATGGGTCAGGCAAGGCAATTTTTGAAGAACAACGACAACAGGACTAGATAGATATCTGGAACTATGTGCAAATTCTCCAGTTCTCTGTTGTTGTAAGAGCAGAATATTACAAGACCATTTGAAACATATAAAAGAAAAATTTTGAGCATGTATTTATCCTTGTTACCTTACTTTTTAGGTGCTTCTCAGCACTAGAACTGGTACCTGGGTCATCAGCCGCTCTTCAAATGGGGGCTATCCTTTTAATATGATGATCACAAGAAGATGCCTTAATGTTATCGAACAAGTTCTGCCTTCGTGTTTCTTACGTTGGATTAATGAAAGGCAGATGAATAAAAGATTTAACCATGAGAATTATGGATTAAGTATTACAAAAGGGTACGTAAATTGTTTTTATTTAATAGAGAATTATTAAATCAATATTTCTCCTCCTATTTAATATAGAATTCAAAATTTCAATAATTGTGATATTGTCCTTGTTTTTAGCCTAAATTTATTACTCTAAGACAAGTGCATGATGTACCACAGCAGTACTTAAAATAAGAGCAATCTCTGGTAACAAAAGTAGTAATGCAGGAGACTAGATCAAAATGAAGAGTGAAAACTGTCATCTCAAGCTTGGCATTCAGGAAATTAATGATTGACTTTCAGCGTCTTGAAGTCACTACCATCTAGAAATAATTTGAATCAATGTTGCTGTGGATTCATTCTGAGAGGAGGAGCATGGTGGGAGCAAGAGGCATGGAGTCACCACACAGACCCCGGGAGTCGGGTGAAAGCAGGCCTGAGGCAAGCAGCCTGCAGACACGTTTATTTCAGTTGCTACAGCAGTTTATATAGCCAAGGCAGCCAATCCGGTCAAGGGGCGGTCTATGCCCTAACCAATCACACCCTGTTGCCAGGCAGTTTCCGAAGCCATCCAATCACAGCCTGTTGCCAGGAAGTTTCTGTTGCCAGCAGCCATCTTGGCATGGCCTTCTCATTCCACCACAACTACCATCTAGAAATAATTTGAATCGGCCGGCGCCGCGGCTCACTAGGCTAATCCTCCGCCTAGCGGCGCCGGCACACCGGGTTCTAGTCCCGGTCGGGGCGCCGGATTCTGTCCCGGTTGCCCCTCTTCCAAGCCAGCCCTCTGCTGTGGCCAGGGAGTGCAGTGGAGGATGGCCCAAGTGCTTGGGCCCTGCACCCCATGGGAGACCAGGAAAAGCACCTGGCTCCTGGCTCCTGCCATCGGATCAGCGCGGTGCGCCGGCCGCAGCGCGCCAGCCGCGGCAGCCATTGGAGGGTGAACCATCGGCAAAGGAAGACCTTTCTCTCTGTCTCTGTCTCTCACTGTCCACTCCGCCTGTCAAAAAAAAAAAAAAAAAAAATAATTTGAATCATCAATGTGTATAGATGGTCAGTTCCTGCTAACATATAATAAATGTCTGTTCTGGTTCAATGATTAGAGGTATGAGTTTCTATTATGAATTTCTGAAATAATGTCTTAATATGCATGTGTATAGGATTGCACGTTGGCAAGGAAAAGAAAAACCATGAAATGCATGGAGGTCATTAAGTAAGCTTTTTATTGTATCTATTGATTGATTCTTTGGTATGAATCTTTCAACTTATAAGAAGAAAATAATGGCAAGAATGATCTGCTATGTGCTGGCGCCACAGCTCACTAGGCTAATCTTCTGCCTGCGGCGCTGGCACCCCAAGTTCAAGTCCCAGTCGCGGTGCCGGATTCTGGCCTGGTTGCTCTTCTTCCAGTCCAGCTCTCTGCTGTGGCCCAGGAGTGCAGAGGAGGATGGCCCAGGTCCTTGGGCCCTGCACCCACATGGGAGACCAGGAGGAAGCACCTGGCTCCTGGCTTCAGATCAACGCTGGCCACAGTGCACTGGACACAGTGGCCATGTTGGGGGTGAACCAACGGACAAGGAAGACCTTTCTCTCTGTCTCTCTCTCTCTCACTGTCTAACTCTGCTTGTCAAAAAAAAAAAAAAAGTTCTGCTATGTAAATTTTGTAAAAACATTGTTTGATATGATTAGATAGAATGGTACAATGAAAATTTTTATCAGTATAAATATATTCTGGTGTTTATTTTTATTCAGATAGTCTCTTGATAATTTCCTCATGGCCTAATGCCATTCTTGGAGATGTATGTGATGTCAGACCCCCAACTTGATCATCCAATGTATTGTGTGCTCTAGCCTCATATGCTTTTTCATTGCTCCAGAAATTCATTCCAAAAGACAGAGAATTTTAAACCTCAGTTAGGAAATAGTAGGTTTAATTATTTTCCACATGTCTTCTACTGGTCGCAAGAAAGCCAAATGTAAGTCAGGTGACTGCTTTGAAGTAGTCATTGGTCAGTTTGCATCTTTGGCTTGGCTGATCATTTCCCTCAATTGACGTAAGTAAATATTTAAATAAATAGAGACTAAAAAGTATTTGCTGAAATGTCTGGTAGATATAACTATAGTGAATACTTTTTTCTTCTGCATCCAAGGAAAAACCCAAAATTTATTGTGAATGATGAGCTGCCCACCTGTATCCTGTGCGGAACAGTGACTGTGAAAACCAGCGTGAAGGAGTTTACAGAAACCTCTGCTATCTTTGAAGATGGGACAGTGGAAGAAAACATCGATAGTGTGATCTTCACGACAGGATATGTGTTTTCTTTTCCCTTTCTTGAAGAACCACTCAGAAGCCTTTGTATGAAAAAGATGTTCCTTTACAAGCACGTCTTTCCTTCCAACCTGGAGAGAGCATCCATGGCCATCATTGGCCTGATCAGCTTAAAAGGGTCCATCCTGACTGGCACTGAGCTCCAAGCACGATGGGCCACACGAGTATTCAAAGGTACCTTGACCCTATTCAAAGCCCTGTGATCAACTGGATCCTAAAACTAGTGGCCCACACTTCATTTAAATCAAACATGTAAGATAAATAGAAAAAAGTTTTTTAAAATCTTTAAGATTCATTTTACTTATTTGAAAGACAGAGTCACAGCGAGAGGTAGAGCCAGAAAGAGAGAGAAGTCTCCCATCTGCTGGTTCACTCCCCAAATGACTGCAAAGGCCAGTCAAATCCAGGAGCCAGGAGCTTCTTCCAGGTTTCCCATGTGGGTGCAGGGCCCAAAGACTTGGGCCATCTTCTGCTTTCCCAGTCCATAGCAGACAGCTGGATCAGAAGTGGAGCAGCCAGGACCTGAACTGCTACCCAAATGGGATGCCAGCATTGCAGGCAGCAGCTTTACCAGCTATGCCTCAGCACCTGCCCCTTTAAATCTTAATGAATAATGAATTGTATATATGCATAATATTATGACAGATGTGCATACTTATTTACTTACTTAATGTGACTGAGTAGAAGAGATTTTGACTCTGGGGATGGGATAAATTTGGACAATAGACTATAATCAAGTTTCTCAGGTGAACTGGATTTATATTGGAAATTCCAAGTTCCTATTCTACTGTGGTGTAGTACACTCCACTTCTGCTGAATTCTGTCTCCATTGATCATTAGGAGCAGAATTTTATATTGCTTCCAAAGAGAGACATTGGAATGATGCACAATGTGGGTAAAATTGAGATGTGAAGAGGCAGCAACCTTTAAGAAATGCCCATAAAAATAGCTTAGACACTGGACAGTACATACTGTCATTTGTCACTATAAGAGCACCGTGGCTGGAGTCAAAGCTAGTGTGGTACAACCCTAGCTTTGAAACTCTGTGTTTGCAAGGACCTCTCAAAATCTCAGCCCTTCATTTGTAAAATGAGGATGATAAACCAGCTTTCTCAAGGTTGATTGATAATGTTGGGGCCAGCGCTGTGGCATAGCAGGTAAGGCCACCACCTGCAGTGCCAGCATCCCAGCACCAGTTTGAGTCCCAGCTGCTCCACTTCCAATGCCGCTCTCTGCTGTGGCCTGGGAAAGCAGTGGAAGATGATCCACGTCATTGGGCCCCCGCACCTGCATGGGAGACCCAGAAGAAGCTCCTGGTTCCTGGCTTTAGATCCGCCCAGCTCCTGACGTTGCAACCATCTAGGAAGTGGACCAGTGGATGGAAGACTTCTTTCTCTGTGTGCCTCTGCCTCTCTCTTTCTATAACTCTGCCTTTTAAATTTCTGACTTAATTAATTTTTTATTTTTTTATTTTTTGACAGGTAGAGTTAGAGAGAGAGAGAGAGAGAGAGAGAGAGAGAGAAAGGTCTTCCCTCCATTGGTTCACCCACCAAATGGCTGCCACAGCCGGTGCTGCGCCGATCCGAAGCCAGGAGCCAGGTGCCTCCTCCTGGTCTCCCATGCGGGTGCAGGGCCCAAGCACTTGGGCCATCCTCCACTGCCTTCCCGGGCCACAGCAGAGAGCTGGACTGGAAGAGGAGCAACCAGGACAGAACCCGGCGCCCCTACCAGGACTAGAACCTGGGGTACTGGCGCCGCGGGCAGAGAATTAGCCAAGTGAGCCACAGCGCCGGCCACTTAATTAATTTTTTAAAAAAGGATGATTTATAATGTCTACAAGGCAGCTGGCACAGTACTTGATAGGAAATGCCCATTTAGATTTGTCTGTTACCATTACTAGTGCTGCTACTATCACTCCTTCTAAAGTGGGACAAATTTTAGATTAGTAAGCCGTTCAAAGAGTTGTAGCTGTATTCATTTTAAATATAAACAGTAATCACAATTTGACCAACCAGCTGTCCTTTAGCAAACTCAGCCCATATTGACAAAAAACAATTACCAAAAACATGTAAAAGGCATATAGCACAGCACTGAGTAATGTTGTATTTCATCACACTATACAAATGTAATAGGTACCAATCGTACTTTAAGACCAAATGTTCTCCTAAGTTGGCAGACATGTTATTTGAATGAGGGAAGAAGAAGTTGGTTAGGAAATTTCATCTTATTTACATTTACAGAAAAAATTCTACAACCCTCCATTTAATTATCAGACAGTTTTTAAGACTGATAAAAGAGCTTTCATAACATCACTCCATAATATTAAAACTATAAAAGACTCTTAAGTACCTGGCTTCTTAAAGTAGTTTAAAATGAGCTACAAAATTGCTTATTAGAATGATAAAGCTGAAAGATTGATCGTGTGCTTCAATGGAGAGGATCCAAAGGGCAGTTCAGGAACCACCAATTAAAGTCTTGCTAGCTTTTCACAGGATAAAGTCAGCCCAGTAAAAAATACACCACAGAGCAAAGTGGCATCTGTGTCCTTTGGACAGCAACTTCATATCCAGGTTTGGCATTTGGTACATGAGAGGGGCAGGACTGGACAGCATGGGATGGCAGGCAGAGTGGACTAGAACGGTCACAGAAGCCCAGAGAGAGAGTTTAGGAGGAAGGTAAGGAGGGTCAGGGTTCACAAAGTCAGGCAAGCATGGAGATCCCAGGAATCCAGAAGACAAACTGGGATTTTCGACTCAGGGGCAGCAGGGCAACTGCAGAGAAGGCCAGGGTCCAAGCTGTTAAAGCAAGCGAAAGGGTTAGCACTAGCTTAGCAGAAAGAGCAGGGGCCAAGTTCTGAGCCCATCTAGATGGGAGTCTGGGAACGAGCAGTTCCTCACAAGGATTCCAGCAGGCAGGGCCTCTGTGCGACCAAGAGACTGCCAGGCTCCTTCCACACTTGACGTTCCCATATAAACAAAAGAAAATGTGCTGAAGGAAGGTTATGAAATGGGGTCATTTTAACTCTTTCCATTTAACCAATGATCAGCCTCAGCACACAGACAAGTACGATGTGGGGGTATAAACACAATAGAATATAACTTATATGTGTATCGTGGGAGCAGACCAGCAGGTGGGTGCTGATGTCTGGGGAGAGTGATCCACGCTGGGGGCTGGGCCATGAGGTCCTTATCTCACAGTGTTAGAACAGTACCCTGAGTAAGTGAGTTGGGAGGAGGTTTTGCCTCCAGAAAGTTATCTTCTGTACCCTAATTCCACTGTGAGCTCTGACTACCACATGTTCTGAGACTGGAGCCTTGAGAGGCCAGAAACGAGGACGAGGGGACCTTCAAGGAAAAGCCACATGTGACTTCAGGTGTTGTTTCCAATTTTTCTCATAGGACTCTGTAAGATACCTCCACCCCAGCAACTGATGGCTGAAGTTACTAAAAAGGAGGAGCTCATTAAAAGGTATGAAATATGTCTTGTTGTAGGGAAAACTTGCCAACATATTGTGTTATAAAAAAAAAAAAGCAAAGAGTTCTTATTACAAAGCACATTCCTGGAGCAACAGTGTGGCAGGTTGGGAATGACTCAGAATGAGCAGTCGGAACATGATTTTAGTTCTAATACTGTCACCAATTAGACACGTGGCCTTAGGTGTGTCCTATGGGGAGACCAGGTCTTCTCACTGGGACACAGAGCCCAGCTCTGGGGTGACAACCCTGTTTGATTCAGCCCCAGGAATTCCTCCTGTCTTCCTTCTCTTCCCACCTATCAGGCTGTCCTCTCTCTGTATTTGCTGATGTCTCTTCTGCTGCACTCCTAAAGATTGCTGAACCCAAAACGTAACTCTCAGACCTCCTTTCACTTCCATTTACATCACTCTGAGATGACCTCCTGCAGGCCTGTGGCTTTCAGCACCATCACAAACCCACGGCTGCCAGATGTGTGGCTCTAACCCGTGTCGTTGCCCAGAATGCCAGTTTCTAAGCAAACTCCCTCAGTAAAGCTCCACTTGGATATTTAACAGGCTTGGAAACTGAGCATGTCTCTAATGGCCTCTGGGTCCCCACCAGAGCCTTTTCTCCCTTCTGGTTAATCAGTCAAAAACCCTGGAGCAATCTTTTCTCCTCCTTTTCTCTCAGACCCCTCATCAACATAAGTTCTGTCACCAGCTACCTTCCAAGTCAGGCAGAATTAAAGTGCTTCCCACTACCTCTGCTGCTACCCTCCACCAGACTAGGCCACCAGCATCTCGCACCATGACACCTGCAGCTTCCTTACCTGGCTTCCTTCCATCTACCCTGGCCATTCCATTCCTGGTCTTGACAATGCAACAGGAATGAGTCAGGTTGTTCATTTCAGAATCCCCTGATGGCTTCAAGAAACCTCCCAGAAGCCCTTGGTCTGCCTTCAGTGCTTATGGTTCCTCCACCTCATCCACACTGCTCCAGGCATGAGAGCCCCTCACTGCCCCCTCAAACATGCCAAGCTGCACCTCCTCGGAACCTCTGCAACTCTTCCCTCTCTCTGCCTGGAATGTTCGTCACCCAGACACCAGCACGGGTCACTCTGTAAAAATGTCACTTCCCAAGAGAGAAGCCTTCTCTGACAATCCACCCAGTGGCACCATTGCTTCTTTCCCTTACCATATTTATATTTCTCATAATACCCGTATCTGAATGGTATTTTACAGGAAGCTGATTTCCCCCATAGAATATGAGCTCTCTGACAGCTTGTTGTTTGATTCAGTGTTGGAGCCCCAGCATCTACAATGGTGCCTAGAATGGGACATTTATTTATGTATGCAGTCATTGAATGAATGAATGAATGAATGACATTGCAAAGTCAATAGAAAGAAGGAAGAAGAAAAAAGCTTTCATATTCACTCTGTCATATCATTGTCAGGTTCAGTCCTAGTGTAGCAAGTGTAGTCCTCACAACTCACGACAGACATCAGTATAAATGTTGTTGATGTCCATATATGTGATGCTTTCTGATCATGTTCCTTCTTCCAACAACTCTTGTATCTGGACCGATGAGATGTTATCTTTAGGTCACAGTCAAGAACAAAAACCTTTTCTTCCAATGCCCTTCTTTTACCATCTCCTTTGTCAACATTAATTTCCCTCCCAATACCCTCTGTAAATAAGCTCTTCTTACCTTTTTTCTTTTGAGTACAAGATGTTCTCAAACATGGTTTGATTCTGGGGGAAAAAAACAACAAAATGATGAGAGGAAGTGGAGGAAGAGTGGCTATAAGTTGTAACTTGAGAAATCCAAGGTAGAAAGTGATTAATGAAGTTATCCATTTTTGTTTCTCACAGAGGTGTGATTAAAGATACCAGTGAAGAAAAACTCAGCTACATTCCCTATATGGATGACCTTGCTGCATGCATAGGCACTAAACCCAATATCCCACTTCTGTTCCTCAAGGACCCCAGACTAGCCTGGGAAGTCTTCTTTGGACCATGCACCCCTTACCAGTACCGTTTAATGGGCCCTGGGAAATGGGACGGAGCCAGAAATGCCATCCTCACCCAGTGGGACAGGACTCTGAAGCCTTTAAAAACTCGAACTGTGTCGTCTGATTCCTCCAAGTCTGCTTCTTTGTCACATTATTTAAAAGTTTGGGGTGCACCTCTCCTACTTGCCTCTGTTTTGCTTATCTGTAAATCTTCACATTTTTTAAAATCAGTGAGAGATAAACTACAGAATAGAATTTTCCCTTACCTAGTGCTATAACTTGAGTGTGTCCCCCAGAGTTCATCTGTTGGACAATTGGTCTGCAATGTGCTATTGTTGAGAGGTGGGGCCTAATGAGAGGTGTTTGGGTCATGGAGACTACATCATCGTGAATGGATTAGTGCCACTCTTGCTGGACTGGATTAGTTACCCTGAGAATGGGTACTTGTAAAGCAAGGCTGGCCCCTCATTTTGCCTCTTCAGTACGTGTTTATTTGCGCTTCCACCTTTCCACCCTGTTATGACAGAGCACAAGGTCCTCATGGAACCTGTCACCATATCTGGATTTCCCAGCCTGCAGAACCGTGAACACAATAAACTTCTTTATAAGTTTCTCACTCTCTGATAGTCTGTTACACAATAGAAATGGACTAAGACACTAATAATTCTGGTGATGATGAATCTGATTGGTTATAAGAATTTCACCAAGTTTTCATAAATCTCTCTCCAAGTATCTTGTGCATTCCCAACCCCCAAACTCTCCATCATAACTACTATAATCCAAGCGCACCCCTACCCATCTCTTATCTGAATTCTTGTATTTTCTTCTTTGCTCAGTACAGAGTCTTGCCTCCCATTCCAGTGTATGTCCTACAGGCATTGTTTCCATCAAGGTTCTTATAGGAATAAGATGGCACAAGTAATTTGAGGAAATTTTACTATAGAGATTATTTGTAAAGATTTGAGAAGAGTGCAGGGAAGTTGTAGGGACAATGAAAGACTCCTAGACCATTAACACTGAGGTAACTTTACAGTCCCTAGAACTAATGAGACAAGAGGAGAAAGCAGTTACTATAGAGAATTACATAGAGAAGGCCACCTAACTGGATCAATGACTCCGGCCAAATGATGAACAGTGCACAATCAGCCCAAAGTAGAAATCTGAAACAGTAGGTATAGAACCTTACTCTTCCCTCCCTTTGTCAGTTTACTAGTGCTCTCCGATGGCCAAACCCAACCAAAAGTCAGAGGGCAAGGCTGCTGGTTGGCATTGTCCATGGAGTGCAGCCTCCCCAACACCCCCAAGGCAGAGTTGATTTCCCCTGTGATGACTGCCCTCATGCACTGCTCTTCTCTCACTGTGATATCATTTTTCTTTTCGTATCTGTCTCCTAGCAAATGAGTGAGATCCTAAAATCAACCATATCTTGTTCATTCAAAACAAGACCTGAGGGGCAGGTGTTTAGCCTGAGGTAACAATGCTGGTTGAAATCTCCATGTCCCACATGAGAGTTCCTGGGTTTGAAATCCAGCTCTAGCTTCTGATTTCTGCTTCCTCCTGTTGCAGACACTGGGAGGCAGTGGTAAAGGCTCAAGTTCTTAGCACTCATCTGGGAGACCGGGGTTGATTTCCTACTTCCTGGATTTGGCCTGGTCCAGTTCAAGCTGTTGGGAACATTTGGGGAGTGAACCAGTGGATGGCAAATATTTCTCTCTCTGTCTCTCTGTCTCTCTCTCATTATCTCTGTATGTTTCTTTCTGTCTTTGCCTTTCAAATAAATAGCATAAAGTAAAGAAAGTTGTATGAGGGGGCAGACATTTAACCTAATGCTTAAGATATCCATGTCCCTTATCAAAATAACTGGGTTCAATACCTGGCTCTAGCTCCTGACTCACTTCCTGCTAATGGAGACCCTGAGGAGAAACAATAATGACTCAAATAAACAAGTTGAGTTCCTGCCACCAATGTGGGAGATCTGAACTGTGTTCCTGGCTCTTGGCTTCAGCCTAACCCAGTCCTGATTGGTGTGGGCATTTGGAAGGTAAATGAGGGGCCAGCGCTGTGCTGTAGAGGGTAAAGCCGCCGCCTGCAGTGCCGGCATCTCATATGAATTCCAGTTCGAGTCCTGGCTGCTCCTCTTCCTATCTGGCTCACTTCCAGGGCCTGGGAAAGCAGTAAAAGATGGCCCAAGTCCTTGGGCCCCTGTACCCACATGGGAGACCTGGAAGAAGCTCCTGGCTCCAGGCTTCAGATTGGCTCAGCTCCAGCCATTGTGGCCATCTGGGGAGTGAACCAGAGGATGGAAGACCTCTCTCTCTCTTTCTCTCTGCCTCTCCTCTCTCTCTGTGTAACTCTGACTTTCAAATAAATAAATAAATCTTAAAAAAAGAAGAGAAAGTAAATGAATGGGAGCATTCTCTCTCTCTCTCTCTCTCTCTCTCTCTCTCTCTTTCTCTCTGTTCCTCTCTCCCTCCCTCCCTCCCTGTTTGTGTGTCTGCATGTGTGTTTGTGTCTACACAGTGGATGTTTTGTGTCATCACATAGTTTTCAGAGAATTAAGCAATTTCTGTTAGTACACAGTGCCAATTACAATCAAAATTTGGTTAAACAGGCAAAGCAAAATTATTTTTATAACATCTGATTTAATTTCTCAAGCTGAAATCTTGATCAGACTTAATTTTTAAAATCTACTTCCTGTGAAATTTTCATTTTTTGAAGCTTTTACCACATTCATTTGATCTGAAATACACATGGAAATTACACTTGACCTTTGAGTAAGACCTTATTAGTGTCTCATGAGAAGTCAGAAAATGAGTTTGACAGCTGCAAACAGATATATTCATGACCCTCTGGCTGGAATTTACATCTATTACTGCTTAGAGTATTGCCATAAATTATGGATTCACTTACAGTGGCCTTTTTCCTGGTATGATTTATTCTTTGAGAACTAGGGTCATGGAAGATTTAGAATTCAGCTCAAAATGGAGAGGCAGCACAGAAGAAAGAGGAGTGAGCAGGGAGACTTCCTGGAAGAGGTGTCTGGGATATAGGGCTTCAATGACAAGCAGAATGAGGTGTCTAGATACAGAAAGGGGAGTTGTCTCCCAAGGAAGCTAGTGAGGCACCCTGGGCTTTAGGGTTCATATGTTTGGACTCAGATTCCTGTTTCAGGTGCTTGTATTTGGTCCAGCAGTTAACATGCACTCTCACTGTCCACATTCCATATGGGACTATCTGGGTTGGAGTCCTGGCTCTGCTTCCAATTCCAGCTCCCTGCTAATGTATACCCCGGGAGGCAGCAGATGATGGTTCACGTACTTGGATCCCTGTCATCCACATGGGAGACTCACATTGAGTTCCAGGCTCAAGGCCTGGCTAGTGTGAGCATTTGGAGGATGTACCAATAGATGGAAGATCTTTCACTCTCTATCGACCAATTAAATTAAAATAAGTAAATTTAAGATTAAAAAAACCCTTGTCTTGGCACTTCCCTTCTGTGTAAGGCAAGAAAAATTACTTTCTTTGTCTTGATTTCTCACCTGAAAATCTGTACAAAGAAGAAAATAGCAAGACTATAGATCTATGTTACGATGAACTAATAAAGACATACCAATTCTTCTTTCTCCCACAAGGACTTGTGCATAGATGGTTCACATAGGACATTGCCACCATTGGTCAACTTACATTGGTTTTAAAGATTTGCAATTGGTGCCCCATCTACTGGGGGACTCTTATAAGTAAAAACTCAGACACATGGACTAGTTACAAGAGAAGGTACACTCCGGATGTTTGAGAACAAGTCCTCCAAGGCTATTGTTTATTTGTGGTACTCTAGAGGGTCCATCTGAGTAGCACATGGGTGATGGTGGAGGTGGTGAGGACCAAAAGGCAAAAGCGTGACACTAGCTAGAACATGTTGCCATGGAAGCAAAGGCCATGCCTCCTGATTATGCAACAAGGAACTGAGGCAAGCAGAAGTTTTCAAGTTCTTTCATTTAAAGACTAGAAAGGTGGGGCCGGTGCTGTGGTGCAGCGGGTTAATGCCCTGGCCTGACGCACCAGCATCCCATATGGGCACCAGTTCAAGTTTCTTAGGTGAACTGGATTTATATTGGAAATTCCAAGATCCTATTGTACTGTGGTGTAGTATACTCCACTTCTGCTGAAGTCTCTCCATTGATCACTAGGAGCAGAATTTTATATTGCTTGTGGGTAAAATTGAGATGTGAAGAGATAGTAACCTTTAAGAAATCCCCATAAAAATAGTTTAGTCACTGGACACTACATACTGTCATTTGTCACTATAAGAGCACCGTGGCTGGAGTCAAAGCTAATGTGGTACAACCCCAGCTTTTGAAACTCTGTGTTTGCAAGGACCTCTCAAAATCTCAGCCCTTCATTTGTAAAATGAGGATGATAAACCAGCTTTCTCAAGGTTGATTGATAATGTTGGGGCCAGCGCTGTGGCATAGCAGGTAAGGCCATCGTCCTGGCCCCGGTTTGAGTCCCAGCTGCTGCACTTCCAATGCAGCTCTCTGCTGTGGCGTGGGAAAGCAGTGGAAGATGGCCCACGTCATTGGGCCCCTGCACCCGTGTGGGAGACCTGGAAGAAGCTCCTGGCTTTGGATTGGCTCAGCTCTGGCCTTTGCAGTCATTTGAGGAGTGAACCAACAGATGGGAGACTTGTCTCTCTCCTTCTCTCTCTCTGTCTCTCTCTGCCTCTCCTCTCTGTGTAACTCTGACTTTCAAATAAATAAATAAATCTTTAACAAAAAAAAAAAAAAGACTAGAAAGGCTCCTCCAACTCTATAGCTATTAATAATCAATTTACTGCGTTCCAAACACCCTGCTGGCTCTTTGAATGCTCATGTTAGGTAGCTATCACCATTTTCCACACAAGCCCACTGAGCTTTAGGATGGTTAAGTCATTTGGCCAAGGCATCACAGCTAACAGAAGAGCTGAGATTATAATCCAGGTTTCATTCTAAAGTTATTGATCCTAGCCAGAATACTCAGTTCCCAATTACTATAGCATTAGATTTCCTCTGTCCACTATGTGACTGCCTTACTCATAAAATTAGCTGTTGAACTATCCTTGTTTGTTTGCAATGCTAAAGTAATTAGGGGTAATTTATCATATTGGTAGAGGAAAGAATGTATGTGGAAAAGAATACACCAGGAATTTTTGCCATTGAAGCCACTGAATTGTTGTCAGGTATTTACTTAGCAATACTTTGTTATCAGACAATTAAATATGTATTCATTCCAGAGAGACAGACTGAAGAGAGAATTCTCATCCCCTGATTCATTCCCCAAATGCTTGCACTGACCAGGGTTGGACCAGGTCTAAGTCAGGAGCCAGGAATTCAATCAGTATAGGTCTCCTATATGGCTGGCAGGAAGCTAAGTACTTGAGACATCATAGAACTCAGATATCTGGGCAGGGCATCACGGCGTAACAGGTTAGGCTGTCACCTGCAATGCCAGCATTTCATATGAATGCCAGTTCTTGTCCTGGCTGCTCCACTTCTGATTCAACTCTGCTAATGTGCCTAGGAAGACAGCAGAAAATGCCCACTGCTTGAGCCCCTGCTACCTACACTGGAGATCCAGAAG